AAAAATCAAACTTAAAAAACTTCTAACGAGTTAATATTCATCACAATTCTCTGAATTAATTTTTGAATATATTTAAATTGTAGCAACAAAGCATTCATTTCTGAATCACTAAGTACTTGGAAAAATTCTCAAAACAAATTTTATTTCAATGATCCACAAATTTGCATACAGAGTACTTTTAGTTTATTTAAACCATCTCGTTATTACAGAAAATACTAACCATGCCCTTCTACGCTCTCTTCATATTGCGTGTTCTTTCCTATCTAATAAATAAATTGTTAACGTTAAAGAAGCAAAATACTACGCTAAATTGAATGATTCATATTTTCCTCTTTACGTTACTACAATTGAATTGTTTGTATAATGCAGAAGTTAGAATAGACGTGTTATTAAATTGGAAAAAGCGTGTGAGTAGTGAAAAAAGCACAAATAGTGTCAACATTGAAAAGAATAAAATATTTGCCTCCAGTGATACATTCGAGCATCACACGTAGTACTGTTTTTGATGTGATATTTAATCAAAAAAGTATTCGGAATATTGCCATCACCACAGATTATTATTCCATGCTTTTCGCTGTACGAAATATATTTTGTAAATTAAAAAAAAGCAGCGCAAGTACTTCACAGTATTTGATAACAACTGAAGACAAAATTCCCACTAATACACCGATTGCTTTGCAATACTGAAAGCGCCGTGAATGAAACGGAATATAAGTGAAGAAAAGATTTGAATACAATTCCCAAATTCATTGTAAATATTTGATAATATTATGTTTGGTTGATTTTTTTCGTTAGTTCCAAAATTAATCTCAAATTGTTTTTAGGCTATTATTTTATGCTTTTTAAATTAATTATTATTAAGGCTTAGTGTTTACAGAAAGTGTAATAGTGCAAAAATTTTATGCAATTACATAGTGATTTATAGATTCTTCTTATCTTCGCTATTTCCAAGCAAATAACCAAGTTTTGTATTACGTGAATTTGGGAATACATAGTGATGGAACGTGAGAATGACTTGTTTACTGTAGAGAAACGACGAAGCTCATCTGAATCTATCTCTAAGAAAACAATAGTTGAATCATCTTCAACACAGAAATCAAGCTCACAACAGGAGCAAACTTCAAATGTTGAGTCAAAAACTGCTCAGTCATCACTTTCTAATACTGATACCAATAAAACGTTATCAGGTGAAAACTTCTGAGTTATTAACAAATAACAGCATACAATTTTAACTTTGGGTACTCGAATTGCTGACAGTAAAAGTTATAGCAGTTTTTTTCTTCTTTGTTAAGTATTTTTGAATAATGAAAAATAGATCATTTTTAATTAACTTATATGTATGTTTACCATTAAACTTTAAAACCTACCTGTGTTGAATTTGAAGATCTATTTGATTCCAAATCTGAACATCTACCGGACTTTGTGTTTCGTCAACCCTCAGCACTTTTTGAGAAAGTTGAAGTTCCACAAGAGCCAAAATTTTATTCATCGAAGGAAGATATTAACAATTTGAACATAGAAACTGGCATAACAAAAGGAAAAAGTTTCTCACACTCATTGGCGGGCATTAATGATAAAAAGCAACTATTCAGTTAGTATAGCATTGAGATTCTGATACCAAAAACAAGCAAATTTATTTGAACTTATAAACATAAAAATATTTTAATATACAAAGTAAAGCTAATCTGCAATAACTTCCATTTCTAATTATTTATATTTACTTTGCAATTATTTTCTAGCAAATTTAGGTTTTATAATCGTTATTCATAATTTTTAATTTAACCTACACTTTTTTAAATTTCTCGCAATTTATTGTTCATAATAAATAATACTGATGTCATTTTGAACAATTGATTATACTATATTACAATATATCATATACTTCTTTATTAAGCATAATACCACTGTTAGAAATAAAAGGTAAGAAAAGCAGAAAATGGTATCAAAAAAAGAAACTTCATGTGAAATTAACTATGATAATGATCCTTATGAATTTTTAAATCTAATTTTGTTAAATCTCGATTTCAGATTCTGAAAAAGGACAGAAGTATTTCCCGAGTTGTTTGCAGTACACGTTTTTGCGCCTGCTTGCTTTTGTTCTTTTATCGTTTGCTTGGTCTATTGTATACGCATTTCCATGTTTGAGATTTACGTATAATATACCTGTTATGTATCAGGGCTAGTACTTCTTTTTCCCTCAACTAACTGCACACTAAGTAATAGCCTATACATTTTAAGTCATTGTACTGGACACCATCTTATACATCACTGTGAATCTCGCTTGCTTGATCAAATTCATAAAAAGTTTTTCACAATATTATCTACATATGGACGAGTATTGAAATTTACATTAAACAAATCTTTTAGGAGAAGTTCAGCCATTGAAACAAATAATTCCACTAAATAATACATGTCGACTAATGCCATATTGGTGGAGTGATCATCCATCATTTGTAGAGAAAATTATAAAAAGCACACGTTATTTTCACGTTTTGAATGAATCATTTAGTCAAAATGGAAAACGTTTAATGCTATTCGAAAATGCTGAAATTCATAAATTATTACAGCCCTTTTATGGAAATCTGTGTGTTCTTATTTTATATTTTATTAAAAAATTTGGATTAGTTAATGTTTTTGAGTTAATGACAGACTTTACTTCAAAAGTAGTACTTTGTGAATCACATACCAAAATACAAATTTACATGTTTTCTAAAGCAAAGTGATGAGCCATTTGTTAAATTAGACAGAGTTTGTCTTCTTTATAGCCTTCAGTTTCACAATAAGAAAATGCTTTTTGACACGCAGTTGAGTAATGTACTTGATTTTGATTCAGAATTATCTTAGATTCGTTATATTTGGTTGCATAGTTCTGGCATTCCCTATTCTGCTCTTATTGATGTTTTTACGTTGCATATCTGAAGAGGACTTGATGGAGGAGGCAATGTTCGACGTCGTTGAAATTTCCATCTTTTGTGTTTTTTCCGTGGTCGAGGTGAACTACGACAGTCTTACATCCGAATTACATCCCTATGCATTAAATGAATTTGACTTTAGTAATCAAATTACAATAGCTGTTTGCTATTACTTGAAATTACAGTTCTACATGTCTTCTGGAGTAGAGTTACGAGCTGCTATGAACAGACTGTGCATCGAATATTTGGACCATAGTATTAGAATGAATGGATTGTTGGTAAAAATTACAAGAATTACTAGGAGAGTTAAGCTTGATCTATCTCACTTAAATACTAGATCTAATACCAATTACTCTAAAATCCACTTGCTTTATTTTAAACTTTTACTCACGATGATTAGAGCAATCAATACTAATGAATACCACTTCATGCTAGAAGGATCACGTATACAACATATGCACTGACATGGAGATCGAAGCATATGGGTTCCTTGCATCCGGCTGCCTATTTTTATTCCTTGTTTGCCTCTTCGCCCTTGATTTATGCATATTACTGAAGGTTCACTTTTTTCTTTATAGTTACTAAATCAATCGATACTATAGAAAAAATTACCTTGCACAAATTTAGCTATGATAATTCATAACTTTAGAATGCAGAACAGATGGAATCACGGAAATATTTGCATATGGCAGTTTGTCTTCATTACGGGAAACCTCTTAGATATATGACCAATTCAGCTCGCGAAAGCATTTATGATGAATGTAGTGTAGAATAGAAGTAATAGACACTTTTGAATTTTTTCTGAATTTCATAAGACTTTTTTGGGAAGAAATTCTTACAGCACTTTCTAAATCATAAAAACTTTATTACCGTTTCCTTCTGAAAATGAATGATGAAAAATACATAAAATTCAACAACTCTTCATTTTTCTACAAAAACAGCCAAATTTATACTTTATGCAGTGATAATGATATATCATAATGTTTGCTTTTCAGTATATGTGCACTGACAGCTGGAGGAAAATTTAGTGAGGGCAAATAACTTTCCTTACTTAATAACGAATGACATGGCTTTCAGTGTGATCAATTTGCTATTCTCTTGTTATCAGTTGTTGAATTCGGTTTTCATGGACAAACGAATAAAGCTCATTATTATCATTTTATGCACCAAACAAACACCAAGGGCACGCGCGTTCGGCTGGAGTTTTATATTCATCTCCTAAAATTACAATGCTAATACTCGAGATAACAAAAGTTCAATAATGTATGACTAACATAATTGCACTACCTACCACAAAAGCTCCTTGTTAAATATTTTGATTGCATGAATTAAAAATTATCATACCTTCTCGATAAAACTGACTACGGTACCATCGCCTGCCTTGCTCGGTTGCTAATGATCGTGCTAATGCTGGAAACAATAAAACGTTAAGCACACTGCTATAATCAGTTCAATATAATGTAATATATTAATTAAAAGTATCAACCATAAATGTTTCAAACGATTTCGACGCCTTTCATATTATTATTGAAGTGATCAAAAATTAAACTAACGATATCCAAGTGGATTGGCTAGTCCCTTTCCTGGTCGACCAACATTGACACCCAATGGACTCAACTGTAGTTGTACAGCACCATCGGCGACATCTGCACGTCCACCTATGTCCACATCTACACCTCTACCGTACTCCACAACACCTCCTCTACAAAGTGACAAATTTAGATTAATTTGCTAACATAAACAAATTTAATATTAGGAACGAACATATTCTGAGCATATCCCTTGAAGACTTCGTGTCTGCGACCAAATTCAACTCCGTCATGTGTCCAAATAGCGCCAATTTTCTCACCAATGTTCGTTTGATCCTCAATCGTTGGTACATTGAAGAGGTCTAGCAGTCTGCAAAATTCTAGTTATTTTTTGCCAAAGCTCAATAAAACATCTTCAGCTAACTTTGCATCGAATAAATTACATTAAAAAAATGTTTTCAAACAAATTCATTAATGATCCACATTCCTAAAATGTCTTCAGCAAAAAGTAATTTAAAAAATGTGAGTTAAATACAAACTAATACCTGACGTCAACTCCGTTATTGTTGCCAAAAGAATGACCTTTCTTATTCGTAAGTAATAGTTCACGAGGTTCAAACACGTTTGCTCTCGATCCGAAACAAAAATATTCATTAAGACCTGGTATTAGGCAAGTGATGACAGATTCTAAAGTGTATGGTATATCAATACCACCTGAAACAACGGCTAATTCAAAACAATCCAAAGTTATGTAACAGCTAACATTTTTTACATCTTTGGTTTCAATGACTTAACAATACAAAACATTAAGTTTTCATTTATAGCAACTTCTTGAGCTTTCCGGTAATTCAAAAAGTTATTAAAGACTAAATTTCTAATGTTAATGAAAAAGAATTGACAAAAGTTTCACCTCTTCTTGAAATCCATCGAGTACTCAACTTGTTGTCACGTTTAATCCGAAGCAATGGAAACGTGCAATCAGTAAAAACTGAAAGCAGGAAAAAGAATACAGCGTAAAAACGCATCAAACGTATTATCGAATTCACAGTACGAAAAGAATAAGTAAATTGGGTCATTTCGAGAAAACAAAAGATGTATATATCATTATTAATTCAAATTGAGAAAACACCATCAAAGTCAATTGAACAAATGTATTTCTCGCTCTTTATTACTTTTATAGGAAAATTTCATATGACTAACGAACCATTTGAACTAAAACTTGAATATTATTAGATGCTCTTTGTTAAAACTAAAAATTTTACCATATTTCCGAGTAGTATGTTTATTAGGACAAATTATTAAAAATGAACTCTTTAATGAGTATTCCAATTTAAATTACTCTAACGATTTCTCGTTTTATATCCGCCAGCAAAATGCACCTAATAATGTACAAATGATGGTGTCCAAAATTAATAATAAAAACAGTTTCTTAATTCTACTCAGTATTGTGATGTGTATACTTACTATTTCCGCAATTATAAAGTAAAAGTTAACAAAGAAATACTTAAGAGCGTACAAAATGTTTTACCTTCATCCAATCACAATACTAACAGTTGCAATTCAGCGTGAGATTCTGTACTTACACGTAAATGGCTTCATTTTCATATTCGCAATTATTTTTGAATTGCGCGGCCAACCGCAAATTACTGTCATGGTCAAATCAGAGATGAAGTGCTAGCATCTGCAATATGGTGCTTCATATATATTCGATTGTCTTGGAATTGTATTTGGATTTATTGCTATCTTTGGTTTCTTATGTTTATTTATGTTTAAATGTAATTTAGGCAAAAGTAAAAATATGAAATTGTAGTATTAAATAAAATAGATATGAAATAAGTAAACATCTGAAAATAAAATTTTATTTGTATTTAAGAGATGTAATATATATTTGTGCTCATTTATTTAGTTAGAAAAGCTCCGTTTTTTCGATTTAACTTTTAGCATTTCTTTCGTGATTCTGTAGCTAAACTATATAAACAATTCAAGTATTTAAGTTATTTAAGTATTTTTGCTTATATTTCACCTTACGTGATGAATTTTAAGTGCGCCATAACATTTACGGTTGCACATTGATTTGGAGCCTCATTAATTTGTGCAAAAATATTTCACAGTTTTGTAAGATAGCAGACAATAAATCTCTCACTTCCATCCTTCCATGAACTGCACGAATAGACATCACAGCTTATTTCAAAGATTTATTTGAATAAAAATTTTCATTTCAGAAAATTTGTGAGAAATATATATAATATTATGTTTATTTATGTTTAAATGTAATTTAGGCAAAAGTACTTACTTTACTAGTAATTAATCTTAATAAAAAAATATGAACATTTTTGTGATAAACTTTTTACTCATTTTGCGAAATGTACAGTTCAATTTCAGAAATTTTGCTCGAAAATTGCTATAAATAAAAGATGGAACGATTTGCTGAACGATCTCGTGATATTATTGCCAACGTGCCAGTCACTGTCAGTACTTCTCCTTCCAGCTCGAATTATCAGTGCAAAGTTATTATTATCATTAATTTACATCATTTATTAATCTTATAATCATTAGTTCTTTGTTAACCTAGCATAATCTTAACTAAGAAAACATAAGATGTAATTAGAATAAGTTAGAAAAATTGTTCATCAAGGAATGTTTGCTATATGGAAGTGTGCTGAAAGAGCATGAGGAAAAACTTTTACAACGATTACGTGGTCTTTGTGATCCTGGACAGTACTCATTCAACGAACATGAAATGGTCTTCAGTCTTAGTACGTAGTTCTATGTCAACTTTTGTTTTTTTTTTGGTCGCATTTTCACTTAAATTATAAATTTAGACTGAATTTACTTCAGTAATCGGGCCACAACTACAGTAATTATTGAGATGACAGGAAACATGTTGGACTTATTTAAGCTGGTAACTTGGCTTAAACCTACTCCATATTTAATAATATCCAGAAATAATTTCTGTATTTATTAGAAACTGGTCAGGATCCCGATGTAACTGTTCGATTGAGAAGGAAATTTGGTGGTCCAGATGCGAACAGTTTTCAGTGGCATTTTCGATATATGGGAGCGGCAGAGCCAGATATTAATTGTCCTACAATAATAAGAAAATCCATTGATTCTCTAATATATTCTAGTAATATGATGGAATTTGTAAAAACATTGGGATTAAGGTGAGTTCCTTTATTATGCTTGGCTCACCAACGAGCAGTCAACTATCAGTTATATATTCTTTAAAGGATTATTAAAACTGGATAACTTATTTTGCCCTAGAAAACTGCGACTACAAGCAGAGTAAAATAAGTGCAGTCTACATAAATTGAAATTTAGCGGAAAACATGACTGACTCAGCTATTTGTACGATTATTTTTCAGAATGGATTATGAGTATCTCACTAAAGGATATCTTTTTACGAGAGGAAATATAAAGGTGGGTAGTGTTAATTACAGTTCTCTTAATGGTCTGTCTCAAATTTTGATGAAATTTTAGATACTGCTCAAAAATAGCATACTAATATTCAGATAATTATCAATAATGTGACGCGAACCGAAAAGATTGGAACCTACGATCCTAATGTTCTCAAACCGCTATCCGATTCTTTACTGATTGAAATGAGCGTAGCATTACCTGATACAAAGGAATATATGACAACCGCAAAAGCTCTTCGTTCATTTGCTGATCAACTTAGCCCGTAAGATCAATTTTTTGTTTTTGATTTATTTCATTTGCGTGATTAGTAGAACATGGTGCATATAATCTTTTATCTTTTTCACAAAGAATACCTTTGTATGAAAGAAAATATAAAAATTGACGGTAGTAATGATATTTTGCTGAATTGTACTTTCTATTTGTATTTTTTAGAATTTGTGACATGCAAAAAGTGGAGTACTGGAGACGACTGTAGTAACTTCTGGTATGGAAAAAATTGTGTTTTTACAATGATAAGATTTCACGACACATATTGATAAAATATAGACATGAATGTACTGCAAAATAGATGTGAAATTTCCTCATGAAATATAAGAGATTTATACTATGTTGTCAGTACTGAATGTACACCACTTTCTTGGCCAGCTTAAGTATAATAATTTCTAAAGGTGCTGAGCACTACAATGCAAATACTTCGCATTAGTAAAGCAATGAAACAGCCAAAATTATACATCAAAGGAAGGACTAAAATGCAGTTTTCTCCAAGTGTCTTAGATATTTTTGAAAGAAAGAATAAAAGGAATTTGTACCAGTCAATAGCATTGGCAGTACCAAACATGCTGTTGTGTTTTGCGCTGCGTGAGGAAGTTGATGAAGCACATATGGGTTCTTAAATGGTTGCCTATCTCATCTCTAAGGAATTCAATCACTGAAGCATCAAAATTGGGATAAATTAGAAATACAATATTTGAAAGATAATGCCAATGCGAGTTATGAAGACATTTCAATTATCGTTGAAAAGCAGCAAAAACATTAGTAATAATACCAGCACTGAATAATCGATATAGCCTTAGTCAGAATCGGAGTCGATAGCCGCGCGTCTTCGATCGAACTATAGAAAGAAATTTCGGATAATTTGTACAATGCAGACAGTGATACGACGTCATAATTTTGAAAAAAATCTAAAATAGAAGGAAATAAGAGGAGGTTACCTTCACAACAGTCGTCTGCCGTTCGTGTTCCGAAAAACGATTCAGTAACTGTTTTAATGTTTCGTCTGTTATTTTTCCAGCTATTTGACCATTTCTGAAATGAACAGAATAATTGAAGCAGTAGTGAGCTGTAGGTTAAAGATTTTACAAACAGTCTTATGATTTGTTCTAGCTGGAACGAATCATCCACGAATATGAAGACAAATACTTTCATAAAACAAAGCGTAGTCTTAAAGTATTTAAGGACTTGACTACCCTTTGTTTTTTCTTTTTTTTACAAAGTTTTTTTTCGCAGATGCGAAATATATCTGACTAACAATAAAAGTTTAAACAACTTCACATGAAAGAAATCAACTTTGAGAAAATTGCTTGCACATATTATAATGCAACATGAAAAATCAGTATTAGACAGCACTGAGTAATAAATTTTATATTTCGTCTTATTTCTAGTTCACAGTAAATGTGTTAAAAATCAAAAATTGTACAGCAGATAAACTACTGATAAAACCTTTACCTCCGCATCTGTATTATCATATTTTCAACCATTTTCGCTTTTTCAGGCTTTACTGCAGAAAGGCTACTCAGCCGTGACATTGCATCTTGGTCGAGAATCTGGTAATTGCAATAATTACATTATCATAAGTTACAAATTTCATTAATGCAATACATAAAATTTAACTGGAAATTTGAATTAGTCACAAAAATTTAGTGCGGTTTTCTTCGTATTCTAAATTAGAAAATGAAAAAAGCAAAAAGGTAACCTGTGAAAGGATAGCATTCTTCATTTCATCTTCACGTTCAGCAGCTTTTTTCTTCTCCTCCGCTAAAGCTTTCTTTTGATCCCTACTGCTATTGTCCTGAAATAAACTTTTGTTAAATTAATATTATTTAGTAGAAACAGTTCAAAAACAAACAAACAAACAAACGTTACTGAAATTATTTGGATGTTTGTATTAGCTTCAATTTTCATTGATAAATAAATATAATTCACCGACTTTTCCTCCGTGAAATTTCCAAAAACATCAACTAAAAAAACAAACGTTGTTAAATCTTTTTTTGGCAAAAAAATTAGTTGTAAATTTTAAAGATGCCAAAAAACTCGCTTTTTGTGGATCATCGAGCTGAATATCTGCCATTATTCTAGCGCCTTTTTAGTATCTAGAAAGTGATTTTTTGGCAAGAATAATGAAACAAGTCCAAATTTTTGCATGCAAATTAACATACATTTCTGAAATCTGTTTAAAAACAACAACTTGATAGAAAATAATTTTAGATTTAATATTTTAGAGAGAAAAAAGGACATTATTTTAAAAAAATAAACAAATATTGGCCACAGTCAACAAATTTAAGCAATATCTATATACTGTGCTGCAACGCATTTTGCATCCTGGAGCAATGAAAAGTAGCAACTCAGACACGATCCTGTGCACTGAATTTTTGAATTTTGAATTTTGAATTTTGAATTGGCATTTTTAAAATATGAATACTTTGGCAACAGGTAATGGGATCCGTTTATCTTAAAATGTTTGCAGTTAATCACATTCTTTAGTTCACTTCAATAAAATTTGGATGAAAATAAAATTTAACGCAATTTTGTTGTGTTTTTAGGGGTAAGTAATAATGTTATTATTAAGGTTTTATCGCAAAATGCCTACATTTTTGTTTTTAAAGAAAATGAATGGTGACATTGATGTTTAAAAGTGAAGTAACGTAAATATTTAATTTAGATGAATGAATGAATGAATGAATGAATGAATATATTTTGACAATTTTATGACACGTTTGCTTCCATCTTTAGTTTCGATTCATAAACTGATAAGATGACGAGATAATCACTGCAGACGCCCCATGATGAATATCAATGATATTGGAAGTTTGTTTACTTAAGAACTATGGAAGATGTTGACAGCATCTGTATTTGTTCTTCTCATAACCCACTTCAGTAGTGCCTTTCCAGTAATTTGTTTCATCTGACAAGCAAAATTCACTAAATATACGTTTAAAATTTCCTTCATTGTATCTATCAGCAGTATTTATCTTTACTCGGTGTATTATGTTGTCATGAAGATATTTATCATAGCAGTTGTTTTGATTTGTGTTGCAAATGCTGCTTACAAGGTAAGATAAAGGCAAAAAGTTGTTTTATATTTCCAATCACTTCTTTTTTTTCTTGTCTCTGAGTTATTCTGACTACTTTTTAAGGATTCTAAACGCAGAAAGTCAAAGTCTTTTCATTTTTGTTTATTCACGTTCTTGTGGTACTCATAGACTTTTGTAATTCAAACTCATTGTTTTGTTAAAAGAGATTATTAACGAAGGAGTTTTATCCGCTCATAAATTCTGTAGTATTTAATTGCAACATATTTTTGACTTGCAGACGCATTTGACAAAAATAGAAAGCAAGCGAGAAAAATTATTTCAAAAAGGACTATGGTCAAAACATCTCAAAAAAAAATATCACTTTCGAACTTCGCAGCATAGATCGAGTCTGGGAGAGAGAGTAAGAGAGATTCTTCGCTTTATAATTTAAGTAAAATATTTGTATTCTACATGCCTGTGTGTATTTTTTTGACGTTAAACGTCTTGCTGCTTCAGGTTGGCGTTCTTAAACTGATGTATTACTTGAAGCGAGCTTTATTTTGGAGCTTTGTTTTACTTCATTGATATAACTAAATCTACCTTGAAAAAAGTATTTGAAACTAAAATTCAACAGTGCATTTTATCTCTTAATTCATTTGATTACTATTGAAGTGTTGAGCTTTTCTCGCATTCAATCTTTTTATATGCAGTTTCAAAAACCACAAGCATTAAACCTTATATAGCTTTCAAAATTTTTGTTTTGCTAGTTTTTGAGATTGATTTAATAAGTTTTTTAGTTAAATATTAATTTTTTTATTTGTGCAGGTTTATGACTATGATGACTTGGAATATGTCGCAAATGTGTCGATTGGTTCTCCTATCGGAACACAAAATTTTTTGGTAGTCCTAGATACCGGATCATCAAATATTTGGATTCCAGAAATAAGCTGTAAATCAGTGGACTGCCACCACAAGAATTTGTATAATTCCTCACTTTCAAAAACTTTCAAAGATGATGGTCGAAAGTGGTCTATTCTTTACGGTGACGGCTCTCATGCTCAAGGATTATTAGGCACAGATTATCTTACTGTTAGTTACTAAAGAGATTGTAGATATGGCTGTTATGTAGGAATCTTTAAGAATTTAAAGAATTCAAAACAAACTGTTGCTGAAGAAAAGTCATATTTTTTAGCTATTATTCTCTTCCTTACTTACACATGACGACTATACGTAGCGCTAGTTTTTGAAGCATTGAAAATGAAGTAGCTGAGCTCGGTTTCGGAGCACGTTAACATTTACTCGTTGATTCATTGCCTTTCTTTTAATGAGCTTAATATCAAAAGGTATTTATTTAAGTAATTGATAATTAACTAAAGGAGTTAAACATTGTTAAAAATAGGCGTAATGACATGGTTTATGTATTTGTTTCAAATTTATCACATCATCATTTTATTTTCGATTTAGAAACTAAAATTAATGGCGCATATAATCTTCTTCATATTTTTCAATTTAATTCTTCAGTATTTTGTATTTTATAAATTTAACAGTTTATTTACATAAAAAAATATTGGAAAAAATGGTGTTTTTTATTAAATTCATTTTATATGAGATTTTGCAGTTTGGATTTGGACAAAATGATTTACTTGTGATTCCAAATGTCACATTTGGCCTGGGTCGAAAATTAAGGGGCTTCAAGCAAGATCCAGTAGATGGCATTGTCGGTTTAGCGTTTACATCAATTGCTGTAGACGGTGTTACTCCACCATTAATTGCTGCAATTAATCAAAAAATCCTTGAACTTCCTCTTTTCACTGTTTGGTTGCAACATCAGGTAATATAATAGTGATTTATGCTAAACCGTTTGAATTCTTAATAACTTGATTGTTGACTACAATCAGTGTTATCTGATAAGAATTATTTAACTTAAGACTTTCGTCTTATTAAGTTATTAAAAAATTATTATGTCAAAATATTTTATTTTGATAGGCATTTTTTACTAATACAACTTTTTATTAGTTGTGTGTTTTGTTTTTAAAACATTTCTTTCTGATTTTCATTGAATAAAGGTCCCGTAATTTATCAGTGTTGATCTCGTGCAATTTTAATGAGGCTTAAAACTGATATTTAATTATTTTTGTGTGTCACTTTGCAGTAATTTGTTGTGGCATGCAATTCTAGATGAATATTTTAATACCATAATGATTCCGTATTTTGAAATGCTAAATTTGTCTGCTTCGGTTTTTGCTGTGTTTAGTTGTGATTTTTTGCAAAAGGATTTTGTTTCTTTTTAGGGTATGCGAAAAAATGTATTTGGAGGTATATTTACGTATGGTGCCATTGACAATGTAAACTGCGATGAAACTGTTCATTACGAACCACTTTCTTCTGCAACTTTTTGGCAGTTTCGTTTGCGTGGTATTAAAATTGGTCATTATTCCATAACTGGAATGTGGGATGCGATATCTGATACTGGAACATCACTTATTGCTGGACCAGTCGCTATTGTCAACAGTCTAGCTTTAGCTGTGAAATCAGAAGTTTTTTTTTACCTGTATTTTACCTTCTGAAAGAATTTCGATAAAAAATATCAAAAAAAATTAACTTTTTTTATTTGACATATTCTTACCTTTTTTTTACTATCCGAGTCACCTGAAGGTTTAATGAAAAAGATTTATTCAGTATGAGGAAGAGGAAGAAATGTTTTTCATAAAATGTGATGCTAAACCTCCTCCACTGACATTTGTCATTGGCTCTCAAGAATATTATATAAAACCAGAAAACTATGTAATAACGGTTCGTTATGAAAATTTATTTTACTTTTTAATTTGGCTTAATTAATGTATGAAACTATCGTGATTTTGGCTTCTACATTTTCTGTACAGATTTTTTATCCAAATTTATCTGAGAATTATTTTGAAAGAACTTTGATGAAATTCAGTTTTTCTTAATCATTAAAATATGATTCTGAAATCTTTTTCAAGTATTTGAAGAATTTTCTAGCAGCTTGGAAATAAATACTTTTACAAGAAACATAACAAGCAATTATTATATCTAAAAAGATATTGTTCTGTAATTTTGTTTCTATATTTTATTTCTAATTCAAAAAATAATATATTGTACAAAAACATTTGAGATTTCAAATGGTACATGCATATTTGCGTTTATGCCATACGATGGTAATGGTTTTGGTCCAATATGGATATTAGGCGATCCTTTTATTAGACAGTATTGCCAGATTTATGATATCGGTAATGAACGTATTGGTTTTGCGTCATCAAAACAATCAGCGTTTGACGTATATGAAAATGAAAAATAGTTTTCCTGTATGAAAAAATTTTACACTATAAACTAGATAAATAATTTTCTGTTTAGCATAAAGACTTCACGAGTACACATATACTTGCTTATTATATTAGCAAAAACATGATAGCTCTCTTTCTGAAGTGCATACATTTGCGCTGAAAAACAATTTTTTCAAATAATGAATTCGAAAAATTGTCTGCTAATATTTGATCTTTACTGTAGTAAGAAAATAAAAGATATAAATTGTCGAAAGCAGAGAAGAAAATGTTATTCCAGGCTTGCTTTAAAAATTATAACTGATGTCAAACCTTAGCTCGTTGTGTTAAACAGTTTTTTATGTGCCATCTGTCTGTTATTTTCTTTGATTCTGAAGATATGTATTAATTAAACAAGGCATATTGTAGCAGCTGTGAGGGATACATATAGTACCCCAAATAAATATTTTTATGGGAAATATTCACCACTGTGGTTTCTTCTGAATGCTAATCACTTCAGAGAATGAATATGTTTCTGTTTTTCATCTTTGCAAGTATTTCTTTATTGAGATTCGATGAAGTGTAATTTGCAGTGCTTTTTTTCTTCACTGTTAGCATTTATAACATTGCGGTGTCGAATGAGTTGTATTCAAAATTCATAACTATCAAATTGTTGCTTGATTCTTTGGAGGATTTGGTCAACCATTACTTGCGTACTTCACGTTTCTCTTTCTTTACTCAAAGATATACAATTGTTCAGTTTGATAATATTTGATTTCTACTGTATGCATTCTACTCCCTATCTCGTGTTGTTTTTCGCTCACTTGGCTTATAAGAAATATTAATTTTCATCAAGTCTTATGGTTATAAAAAAATTGATAGAAACGAAAATTGATCTGGCAAATCATTCTATTAATTGATTATATCAGACTTGTAATTTATTTTCAGAAAAAACTATAGAAGGAAGAGTGGAAGCAGGATGGATGTAGTAGAGATTAAATGTAATCATACTGAATAACTGTTTGTTTTTGAGTATACAAAGGGATAGCAGAATTATGTAATTAATAGTTGGTTTTCAGTGGCACTCTCGTGATAACCTTTGCTTCTGTTGCTTGAAGGTCTGCAGAACTATTGCAAATGAATGTAATTTAATGAATTCTTAATGTTTCTGACATGTAATTGAATCTATAAAAGTTTTATTTGAGCGGAAATAAACGGTTTTTAGTAGTCGTGCAAACAAATGAATGGGTGTTATTACAATAGTCTTTAATCGCTTGAAAATGGTGTATATTAAAAGAAATATTGTAGTCTGTCAGTTTTATCGTATAGAAATATTGTATTATCAAAGTTAATAAAATTAAATCATTTTATTCGTTTAATATTTTTAAATGTTGCAATTTATTGTGTACTTTAAGACAATGCATGCATCTGTTATTTAAAGGAGAATAAGTGATGCAAGTTATAGATTCACTGCATTTAATCTGTTTTAATTTACAAAAATTTATTTATTTAAAATATTTTCATAACTAAATTAGGCTTCAATTGTATGATGAGTGAAAAATTCAGCATAAAATAATCTGTATTTGAAAACATATCCAAAATAACTTTATTTGTTCAATAAAATTAGTTATATTTATATGGGAAGATTATCATAGCGCGGGCGGAATTAGATTATTATTAGGTAACTTGAAAAAATGAATCCTCAACTTGATTATGATCAATTATGGATTAGTAAATAAAGCTATGAACAAAGATTTTGTGGACAAAACTGCTTAAGAAAAATAGTAAAAAAAACAAAACTGCCCAAGAAAAAAGCTTTTATTTTTTTATCGAAATGATTACTTTTCTATTTATACTTTTGATGGGCAAACTTCAGCTAAAGGTTTTTAGAATGACATAAACTTTTCAAATTTTTGACACCAAAAGTTCTTTAAAGTCGAATGATTGGAATAATTTGAAAAGTAGACAAATCAAAAAAACATGTAGTAAAGCTAACTAGCTCACAGCAACAGCTTGAGGTCAGGAAGTGAAAAACATGTAGTAAAGCTAACTAGCTCACAGCAACAGCTTGAGGTCAGGAAGTGAAAAACATGTCATGTAGTAAAGCTAACTCACTCACAGCAACAGCTTGAGGTCAGGAAGTGAAAAATTTGCAGCAAGAAATCTTCTTATATTAATAATGTTGTTCAGTTAGATATCTAAACTCTACTTCATTCAATTACAGATATCTAAACTCTGCAGTCTCTTTAAATAGCAAACAAGAAGTACACAAACACAAATTTTTCTTCTCAATATTACTATCGAAATATGGTTATCTAAGCACCATATATGGTGTTCGCATGTGCAAATTCAAATTTATTTCCATTTACTGAAATAGATTAGTTCAGCTCATCATACTTCAAACTATTAAGCTCTTTTAAACTTACTCGAATAGATAAAGTTTATTTAATACTTGAATACCAGCAAAGAGTTCAAAGACAACTATTTGCAGTGTTATTATATAAATTAAAAATTATCACTACTTTTATTTACTTTATTACGGATGGCATATGGTATGTATATTTATTCTTTGTGATGAGTGTGTTTAGGATAGTGCACAATTATTTTCTGCCAGTAAATTTGTGCTATATTTTTGACTTTCACAAGACTTCTTTTCAAAAAAAGAAAAAAACTCTAACATAGAAACAAAATGAAATTTAAAATTCATTTGATAAGACTAAATTAATTGCATTTGTAATTCAGTGGAAATGTCAGGTAAAATTGTAATTGTATTTCTACAGTTTACTTGACATTTTGTGTATTATTTTAATCTTTCTTATTTATCAAAAAAAGGAAAAAATTAAATAAAACTAACAAAAACAACTCGACTTATGCTCGTTAGCTTTAGTGCTATTACTTCGCTATATTCTTATTTTGATAACAGAAAATATCACTCAAAAATGAGCAATAACTTTTACATCAATTAAGCATCTTTATTACTATGATAAATCCTCAGAGACTTGAATTTTGTTCGCTTTATTAGTGAGAGCAAAATTTCAAATCCCTGAGGGTTTAACTAAGAAAAAGATTCTTGTTCGAATTGTTTTTTTGCTGGAAAATTTAAATTTCGATTTGAAATAAAGAAAATAATGTCAAAAAACGTGAAGACAACTTTTTTTTTTAGATAAATATAAATTTTAACAATTTTTAATTTTATAATTTTTATCGTCAATATGAGATTGCATTTATTTGAAATATACAGTATGACAATCGCTACAAAAATAAAAATAAGCATAAAATTTAGACAGTATGCTTTATTTATTATGCATTTGTTGCTGACTAATTCCACAAGGGATGTTTTAGATTAGACTGTTACTGCAGTGAAACTATTTAATATAAATGAATTTATTCATCAAAAAGGCATTTTAATTAGTTCGCAATGGTTTGTTAATTCGTTTAAGCTAAATAAAAAGCCTGAAATTTCGCATAAGCTAAATAGTTTGGTATTAATTCGTTTACTTAAAGTGCTATTTTTCGCCACAATTGCATTGGAATTTAACGATAAATATTTGCATTGATAATTATACCACTGATTAGTATTATTCTATTCATGTTTAAATATAAAATGTGGAGGTTAGCTTAAATTTTCGCTTTAATGATTCTGACGGTGGATCTCATTCCGGCACTCTGACAGTACTTGTCCCGCGTTCAGATTTGTGGTACACATCATTCTCGCTTCGTTATCATGGAATCCGTATCGACTCTCGAAGGAGATGCTTTCGAGCGTCTTCTTCAGAAATATCGATTGAATGTATGACCCGACGAATCAAATTGACTGATCTTCGCGCAGCGTTTGTGGAAGTCCGTTACAATCCCATCCCAAGTCATCACATACGGAATTATTTTGATCCTGCACTTCATCTCTGACCCAAGCTCATTAGCATATAGATCATATTTTCGCTTTTTCTCAGTCTCGACTGCTGTCAAACTGTCCTGACTAGTGATGTCAACCTCAATCAGGATTTCTTCAAGTCGCTTCTTTTCGTTTATCATGATATCCAGGCGATCCGTTTTTATTCTGATTGCAGTTCTGACTCCCTTATCTAATCTTAACATTCTCATTCGCGACGACCTCCTGGACAGAATGGCTTTGTAAGCGCGGGAATGCTTTCAAACCATACTTCTTGCAGAGTCCCAAGTAGATGAATCGTAGGACCTCATTGTGTCTTCTAATATAGTCATGATAAAACATTTTTTTCGCACTGCGTTGCTAGATGGTCCACATAAGTAAATAAGTAATACTATCTTAGCATCCAAAACCACACGTTCTCTACAATGTTGGCATATACCTTTCTCATCTCCAAACATATTTCTATCTTGGAGATAACAGTATCGTGCCTCATCTTGCGGGGTAATGTTTCCGTATCGCAGCCATTTCGATGAATCAACTATGGACGAGATTTCATCCGTGCGCATCTTGTATCGCTTCGCATGGTGGTTTCGCTATACAAGAACGCCTTCTGGGCTTTCAACGGTAGAATTTTCTGCTGTACCTATTCTGTATATAGGACACAATAATTGCCAATTATGTGTTGTGAGCTTTATGCTTCTTCAAAATCGTTGCTTTTCTGGTAGATATGGGCGCGGTATCTACAAGAACATTATGTAGTTGGAGAAGCATAAGCTCACTCCTCTGTTCAACATTATGAAGTTCACGTCCCAGCTCATCCCTTGGCAGGTACAGTCTTTCCAAGCATGCAGGTTGCTTGTGAATTCCACATTTATATAATAACTACCTGATATCGTGTTCTATAGACTTCTATAGCTTCGAAGTCTTCTGGCTCCAAAGACAAGTGCATCAAGCGTGATCATTCTGTCGACATCAATCTCTGGTACACTGGCACACTGGCAGAATCTCTTTCACACCCTTCCTATAGCTTTTTCCAACCGCATCTGTTTTTCCATTATTTTCATTCATGATTTCAGATGCTTCTTTTAGCCTCCATTTTATGTTCGTTGCACACAGTGATTCAGAGTCAACTGCTCAGCACCTCGGAAG